AAAATAAAATGTATTTTAACTCTCACAAATTTTAATCAAAATTAGTTTAGTTCATATATTTTAAAAGATGTAATGGATTTGGATTATTTTTCAGGTTAAAATGGAGTATACGATAAGGAACGAAATTTACTTTGTTAAAGTATAATGTTAAAATTACAAATTTGAAAATGTAGGACCAAAACTAATTTATATCAAATTTTGAAGGAACTAAATGACATGTTACCGTGATATTTATAACCAATACCAATATTCGTCGATGGTTTCGATCAAATTAAAGGAGATGTATTGATTTAGGATTTTATAGAATTTTAAAATATTTTTTTTAGTGAAAAAGTCTGTTGATATTTGATCAAGATTTTATGTCACTTAAAAATAATTTAGTAGTATTTAATTTGGATTTTCAAGATTTTTTAAAGAATCCATTAAAATTTATTGATATTTATTTAAGACTTTTTACAACTTAAAAATAATTTATTGGTGTTCAAAAATATAAGAATTTTAAAGGATTGTTGTATTAGAGGGATTTTGAAGGATTTTTTAGTAGTATCTATAAATACCAAATTCATAAAACAATGATCCACGCTTAAGCAAGGTCAGGGGTTCGAAACCTGCCTTGTGTATGCAGCCGCGTTAAATCTTGGGGCTAGCTATCCCACCCTTTGAGGTGCCTCCAACGTAGCGAGGAGATTAGTCAGTGCTGTCGGCGGTGGATACTCCAGGGACGAACCAAAAAAAAAATCATAAAACAATCCTATCCAAATCTATCAGATTTTGAAGGATTGTTTGAAGTGACTTTTCAAGTGCTTCAAGAATTTCAAGTGAGTTTTTCATTTTTTTTTTCTATGCTCATATCTTCTCCATTTTTTTTCTTGTTAATAATATTGCACTACTACTCATATATAATACTGTATTATTATTCTCATTTCATTCCCCTATTTGGTGAAACTTCAAATGATAATGTCATTGACTTGCTCTATTTTTATCTCCGTTCTCTTTAATTAACTTGCTCTATTTTGCTCTATTTAGTTGAGATTGTTCCTCAGTTATATAACACAGAAAATACTTAAAATTTTAACTTTTAAGTAGTAATTTCTTTTATAACACATGTCAAGAAAAGGGAAAAATGAAAACTACAATTGATATCATGATCTCTATAATCAACTGTAGATCTTCAAGACTTTGTAACTAATTTAGATTTATTTAAATTATATATATATATATATATATATATAAGATGATTTTGACTAAACAATTATTTTATTTCTTTTTTTTTACTGTGAATTTTATTTTTTAATTTTTATATTGTGAAATTAGGATTTTTTATATTTAAAAAAATTAACATAAGACATTGCAGTATCTTAAAATTCAATACTAAAAATATTTTTTCACGAGTGAATAACTGAAAGCAATTAAAAAATTTTAAAAATTATTTTGTAAATCTCTAAGATATTTTAAATGAATAAAAGTGTATGAAAGACAAATTTTCACTCAAATATCAATATAAAATGAAGGAACATATTTAGTTATAAGAGAGTAGGGTAACTGTCCTACTATTTTTTTAATCATTTATAAATAAAATACTTTAAATCACAAATTATAAAAAAATTTGAAATGTTGTTTATAATAATTTTGAGCATGTGCAGCACTACATAACTTTCTTCGTAAAGAATGTCATTTTGATGAATTTTTAATTGAAGTAGTGGATGAACCTTCATCTTCAACATTATCAGTTAAAAAAAATCATAATTTTGAGTCTATTATTAAAACTTAGGAGCAAGAGTGAAAAGATGTTAATGCTTAGGGGACTATTATAACTATGAATATGTGGGTGAATGCTATTTAGAAGGATATGATATTACGAAGAATTATTATTATTATTTATTCGGATATAGTTGTTTATTTTTATTATTTTTTGTCTTTGACTCTTTTTAAATTTGAATGTATTAAAAATATCTTGAACTCTTATCGTATGTCAAAAATCTATGAAATTTTGCAAAGTTCATAAACTCTCGTAGAATCCATTAAAATCCTGACTTAAAAGTCTTACAGAATCCATTAAAATCTTTATTGAAAGTCTTGCGGAATCCTATAAAATCTTAAAAGTCATGAAAATCTTGCGAAGTCTTTTAAAATTCACAGGACTTTTTTTAACTAAAAAAGTCCTTTAAAATCCTAATTCAATACACCCCTAAGTATTTTGGGGCTAAACTCTAAAATTGTCTTTTAACAAAAAAAAATAAAAATACCTTTAAATGTTAAAACGTTTGTCAATAAGTACAAAAAAATGTTAACATTTTCTTAGTTTATAATTTATTAAATATTAAATTTTCTTCTAATAGCGCAAAAAATTAAATATATTATTAAATGTTAAATATTTGTCAATTATTCAAAAATTAAAATATATTAAATAATTTCTTAATTTTGTATTATTAAATATATCTTTTCCTAAACACTTTTAATTCATTCATGAACTAATAACCAATGTAAATGAATTAAATAAATTATTAATGAGTTTACAATTTCTTGAGAAAATGTGTAAATCTAAACATTTATATAAAATTTTATACTTTTAATAAATTTTTTTATAATATAAATTTAACCGATTTAACTATTGAATCACGTGATATTATATTTAAAATCATGTATATTAAATTTTACATAATTCTAAAATTATTTAGTAGTGTATCACATTATTTTATTTTTATGTATAATATAATATTTATAATATGTATAGTGTGATATTTAAAATACGTATAGATATCTATTTTGACATAACATATCTAAAAAAAATTAAATTATATAAAATTTGATATACATAATCTTAATTAAAATATTACATAATTTAACAGTTTGATGGTTAAATTTGTTGTTTAAAATATTATATTTAAAAGTAAGTTTTTAGAGTTGCATCTATTATTAAAGGATTCTGATTGATTATTAATTATATCCATGAATCAATGCTCTTAATTAACTTTTAAAGTAAAATAAATAAATAAATATTCTATCAAATACTCTCAATGACCATAGTTTTTAACATTTAGAAAATATCCCAACATGAACCATACTCTCGCTTTTCAATGTATTATTATTTAATTTTTTTCTAATTTTCTTTTCCATTAATTATTCTACCACCACTTAAAAATAATGTATTTATTAATAGTGTCTTATTTAAGTAAAATTATATAATAAAAAAGTAACATTTTTTTTTAATTCTTAATGTATGTGAAGAAACTTTAAATAACAGTTATTATGAAGACGAAAGGAATATCATAAATCATGTTAAATAAGCCCTTAGTTGTTGAAAAAATCATTTAAGTTCATTCAATAAATATTAATAAAATTATATCAATTTAGAAACTAAGTTGAGAAATAGTTGATACTTATACAATTTTATTATTCTATAAGTATAAACTACTTAAAAAAATTCAAATCTTGACCAAAATAGTTATTATAAGAGAAATACAAAAATTATGCCGTAAAAACGAATTCAATTCAATGAGTTAACTCTAATATCTTGTGCAATAAATTGGGTTAAATTGTACTTTTTAACCCTTCAATTTACATAAATCAACACAATCTACCAATTTAACGAGTTAAATGAGAGATAGAGTTGAGTGGGTCTTCTCTTATTTTTTCCTTAACTTTTATATATTAACATTGACTTATAATATTATATTTGTAATTTATTTGCTTATTAAAATTTATTTATAATTGCATTTTATATTTATTTTATTATTATTGATAAACTTGTAAAGTTATTTTCATGTTAACAAATTTATTAAATACATGTCTTATTAAATATTTGAGTCATTTGATTCATTATTACTTTTATAATATATATTTTTTTCTGTTTTAAACTATATTCATAAAATGTGAAAAAAAATTAAGATATAAAATAAAAATAATTTATAATTTTTTAATGAGATTAAGAGTTGACTCAACTTAACCCACTATCCTAGAATACTATAAGTTAAAAACTTTTAATCCAATAAAATAACATGTGAACTTAATTCAATTCAACTCATTTTTTCGACATGTTGAGAATTAGGAATATGAAAAAAAAAATCAAATAAACCAATTTAAAATTGCAATTGAACCACACCATTTTAAAAAATTAAAAAACTTAAATTACATTTTTTTATACAAAATGAATTTTAGAAATCGAACCATATTGGTAATTAAGTTTGGTGCACCATTTTTTCAATAATAAAATAAAATAAAATCAAAATAATTTACTTATATTTCTTATATCTATATCGCATAAAATATTTGAGTATTGATTATAATCATTATGTTTTTTTTTATTTTGTGTTTTTATCTAATTTTTTGTTTATCTTTAATTATCAAATCGTGTCTCATAATCAATTTTTCACTTAACAGTCATAGTTCTTCATGTGTTTGGTTCATTTGTGTAAAAAATATTCTTTTAAAAATATTTTTTTGATAAAATAAATAATTTTCTACCTTATATGATGTATTTGTTTACTTAATTATTTTCTAAAAGTTAAATGTTTTAGCTAATAAACATTTTTAATTTGTCTAGAATGTATTAATCATGACTTTTATCCACAATTTTGAAGAAAAAATTATTTTTTTAAAAAAAAAATGGTTCATTTCTCAAAATTACTTTGAAATTAATTTGAATATGAAATCAATTCTAAATAATTTATAAAAATAATTTAACTATGAACCAATTTATTGATGTAATGCAAATATTTTATAAACCAATTTAATTTGACAAAATGATATGATACCGTTCGACATAATTTTTTTATAAAAAAAAAAAAAAACAGAACTATGTACACACATGATGAGAATGAGCTGGATTAGATTAGATCACGTAACACTTCTAACATATCCTAGTTAAAAAGGAAATTAAAAAAAAAAAGAGTATAATTCTAGTCTAGTTCGAAATTCGAATCCAACCCGATTGGCATCCAAATCCAAGGGTCCCCCAGCGTGTGATTTTGTGCTGGTCTATTCCACTATGTCACACTATGACTTGTAGCATACTTCTAACTTGTGGCCCCAACTTGCTATCACGTTCACATACTCTCTCTCTCTCTCTCTCTATTCTCCACTAGTGTTGATTGATATTGATGCCCATGAGTTCATCCATAAATACTAGTAAGTGAAACCACCATGCAGATTCCAACTCAATCCTTGGAATAAAGGTCTAAACACCAACTTTATCCCAACACAAGACACTCAATCTAGGAAGCTTCGCCATCCTTGGAGATTCCGAACTCACATCACATAATAGCATCCACAATTGTGGGATCTCAACCACTTCACTTCACCATGGCTCAGAATGGAAATGGAGACAATGATTTTGATGAATCCCCTGACCATGAACATAAGCTAGGCCGAAAGGGTAGCAGCACAAAGGTGAAAGAGGATGAGGTTTCTGTGGAGAGGATGTTCCAGCACATGTTAGTGCCTTCATGGAGGAACCAATTGACTGTGAGAGCCTTTGTGGTCAGCTTTGTACTCAGCATATTGTTCAGTTTCATTGTGATGAAGCTCAACCTCACCACTGGAATTATCCCTTCACTCAATGTCTCTGCTGGCCTTCTAGGGTTCTTCTTTGTCAAGACTTGGACCAAGTTCTTGGAGAAATCTGGCATGTTGAGGCAACCCTTCACAAGGCAAGAGAACACTGTCATCCAAACCTGTGTTGTGGCCTCCTCTGGCATAGCCTTTAGTGGTACCCTTTTTCTTTCACTCTGTGTCTGCCTTTGTCAATTTGCTGCTTTTGCTGTGATGTTTTTGATTAATTGTTTTGACCTTTTTTTTATTTTTATTTTTTTTTATTCATGGGATTGAAATTGTGGGTTTTGAAATTGACAATAAACTTTTCTAAAAGGAGGATTTTTGGTGCTGTTTCAGATTCTACAGTGTGTTGATTTGTGGGGGGTTTGAATTTGAGGCAGGCCTAGTTTAATTTCTAGTGTTGACCTTGATTGTAATCCGATTTCTCAGAGAGAAAAAATGGTTTTTTTGTCACTATTAAATCATTTCAAGAGAAGTTTCCAAAGGAGAAAGCCTAACCAGCATATAGATGATAATTGACAACCTCTGGAGTGGTTAATTGAATCAGTATATAATCAATTGTGTTCTTATTTTATTTTATTTTATTTTATTTTTTTTGAAGATTTCCTAATTTTAGGTCAATTCTCTCTGTCCCTCTGATTGAGTAAATTGGAAGAAATTTGTGGCCGGATGATATCATAAGCTTTGTTTTTCGTGGGGGACAGGGGAGGGGAGATATCACAATCTTTTGTTATCAAAGGTCGCTTTTTTCACTCAGGCACTACCTTCTAGAATATACTAACTTCGGAAAAGCAACAGGAGATGAGTCGCAAAGTCATCAAATTTGTCCATGCATTGAAAGAGAACTTTTTTCTTTGTTTTCAAATTTCAACTCACGAGAAGAAATTTGGAAAATTTTGGGCTTCATTTATTTAACCAAGTTGATGTCATTGAATAATATGTTGATTTTTTCTACCAATTTCAACTGTTCATCAGAAGAAATTTGAAGTTACTTAATCTCATCTTACATCGTTATTTAAAATAATCATAAATTTTATATTGTTAAATGTATTGCATTACATTTTGAAATGAAGTATTGCAAACTGTTTAATCTGGTTGAAATGTTATGTGATAGTTATTTAAGAAAATTGGACTTTAGAACAAACAAAAACTCTAGAATGAGATATTTCGTAGATGTCATGATTGGCCCAGTTAAATGAAATTTTCATTCTGTGACTGGCTTGTGTGGACAGGAGGGTTTGGAAGTTACCTCTTTGGAATGAGTGAAGAAATAGCCAACCAATCCACAGACACCAGTGACTTTAAGAACCCAAAATTAGGGTGGATAATAGGTTTTCTCTTTGTTGTTAGTTTTCTTGGCCTCTTCTCAGTTGTACCTCTACGAAAGGTATGATACTTGTACATTCTTGAAATATTGACTAAACTGTTCATCAATGTTCCATTTTATTCCTAATAAATTTGAAAATGAATGAGCTTGTTAGAATACAAGTTAAAAGTACTTTTGCGAGATTCTCTAATGAAAATAAAGAGTTATTTCCCGTAGAGAAACTCTCAAAAGTACTTATAGACTTGTACCTAAACATGCTCCATATTAATTTAGAGAAGAAACACCCACTTTAGTTCTTGAAATTTAGGAACTAATTTGGGTGTTTGGTCTTAATTTAGAAAACCTACATAGTGTTTTTTAACCTTATTTATTTCTATCATGGAAATTGCATTGCAAAAAATGATTGTTAAGTAGGGGAATGGTTGTTTTTCTAAGTGAGTTTTTCATTTTCTTTTCTATGCTCATATCTTCTCCATTTTTTTCTTGTTAATAATATTGCACTACTGCTCATATATAATATTGTATTACTATTCTCATTTCATTCCCCTATTTGGTGAAACTTCAAATGATAATGTCATTGACTTGCTCTATTTTTATCTCCGTTCTCTTTAATTAACTTGCTTTATTTTGTTCTATTTAGTTGAGATTGTTCCTCAGTTATATAACACAGAAAATACTTAAAATTTTAACTTTTAAGTAGTAATTTCTTTTATAACACGTGTCAAGAAAAGGGAAAAATGAAAACTAAAATTGATATTATGATCTCTATAATCAACTGTAGATCTTCAAGACTTTGTAACTAATTTAGATTTATTAAAATAATATATATATATATATATAAGATGAATTTGAGATAAGAATGGATCTTAGTTGAGGGGAAGAACCCTCTCAGCACAAAAATTGCAATCTCTATCCCTCTCTTGAATTTGTTACTGTTATTCTTTCCCTTTCATGACTCAACAATTATTTTATTTCTTTTTTTTACTGTGAATTTTATTTTTTAATTTTTATATTGTGAAATTAGGATTTTTTATATTTAAAAAAAATTAACATAAGACATTGTAGTATCTTAAAATTCAATACTAAAAATATTTTTTCACGAGTGAATAACTGAAAGCAATTAAAAAATTTTAAAAATTATTTTGTAAATTTCTAAGATATTTTAAATGAATAAAAGTGTATGAAAGACAAACTTTCACTCAAATATCAATATAAAATGAAGGAACATATTTAGTTATAAGAGAGTAGGGTAGCTGTCCTACTATTTTTTTAATCATTTATAAATTTATAAATAAAATACTTTAAATCACAAATTATAAAAAAAAATTGAAATGCTGTTTAAAATGATTGTTAAGTAGGGGAATGGTTGTTTTTCCTTATTACTTTAGCCCTTTAGCAATTGTTATCAGTATTTCACTTGCCACAGTCTTGATCAAGTTTATCTTCTATTATTGGCTGTAGATTATGGTCATTGATTTCAAATTGACATATCCAAGTGGTACTGCAACTGCACATCTCATCAACAGCTTCCACACTCCTCTAGGAGCCAAACTAGCAAAGTAGGCACTGTCTTATACTCCATGTTACAAGAAGTGACTGCATGAGATGTTTGACATCCAAACTAATTTTTTCTGTTTCTTTCGTTCTCTTCCAGGAAGCAAGTGAAAACGTTGGGAAAATTCTTCAGCTTGAGCTTTTTATGGGGTTTCTTTCAATGGTTCTATACAGCTACTGACCAGTGTGGATTTCAAGCCTTCCCTTCATTGGGGCTTAAAGCATATGATAACAAGTATGTTGTCACATCTTCATTTTAACTGAAGTTTCTTTTTGTAAACATGCATGAATCTGACCGCAAGATACTTCAAATTGCTCCTGTTCTAATCGGGAATGGGTAATCCAATCTTAACTTATTTGCAGGTTTTATTTTGATTTTTCTGCCATCTATGTTGGAGTGGGAATGATTTGCCCATATATCATAAATATATCAGTTCTTCTTGGAGGAATTATTTCTTGGGGAATAATGTGGCCTCTCATAAAAACCAAAGAGGGTCAATGGTATGAAAAGGGCCTTGGTGAAGGCAACCTTCACGGTATCCAAGGTTATAGGGTAAGTTTCCTGATGTAAAGCACCTATACTGCCACAATATTTACTTAGGAACAGATCATATATATTGTAAAAAACTTGACATGGTTAAGTGCTAGAAATTTATTAAAGGGCTAGGATCTTGTGCAGTGATAAAGTCACTGCAGAGGATTCCTTCCCATATTTATACACTTTCTAAGGTCTATTAACTAATTGATTTACCTTATACCTTGACTTCAGGTATTTATAGCCATTGCCTTGATCCTGGGTGATGGTTTGTATAACTTTGTTAAGGTGCTAACTCATACCCTTTGGGGGTTGTATCATCAAATCCGAGAAAAACAAAGGGAGAATGTTCTTCCTGTTGCAGATCAAGATTCCCCCACAAATCCTCAGCTATCTTATGATGACCAGCGCCGCACCCAACTCTTCCTTAAAGATCAAATTCCCACATGGTTTGCAATTGGAGGTTATGTTGCTGTTGCTGCCATCTCTACTGCCACTCTGCCACACATCTTCCACCAACTAAAATGGTATTACATAATTGTTATCTACCTAATTGCTCCCACCTTGGCATTTTGCAATGCTTATGGTTGCGGGCTAACAGATTGGTCCCTCGCGTCCACCTATGGAAAGCTAGCCATCTTCACAATTGGAGCCTGGGCCGGTGCATCACACGGTGGAGTTCTTGCCGGCCTAGCAGCATGTGGAGTGATGATGAACATTGTTTCCACAGCCTCAGACCTGATGCAGGATTTCAAGACAGGCTACCTTACGCTGGCTTCACCACGTGCCATGTTTGTGAGCCAAATAATTGGCACAACAATGGGTTGTGTAGTTTCTCCTTGTGTGTTTTGGATTTTCTACAAGGCTTTTCCTGATCTTGGGAGAAGCACAAGTGAATATCCTGCCCCATATGCAATCATATACCGTAATATGGCTATATTGGGGGTGCAAGGTTTTGGCTCTCTACCCAAAAACTGTCTCTTGCTTTGTTACATATTCTTCGGTTCTGCAGTCACGATAAACTTGATTAAAGATTTCCTCGGTAAGAGAGGGAGATTTGTACCGCTTCCAATGGCCATGGCGATACCTTTCTACATAGGGCCATACTTTGCCATTGACATGTGTGTTGGAAGTTTGATATTGTATGTCTGGGAAAGGATTAACAAGGAGAAGGCAGATGCTTTTGCACCAGCTGTGGCTTCTGGTTTGATTTGTGGGGATGGAATATGGACTCTTCCTGCTTCAATACTCGCTCTTGCCGGAGTTAAGCCACCAATTTGTATGAAGTTTTTGTCAAGAGCGGCAAATCAGAGGGTTGATACTTTATTAGGGAATTAAGGTCATATTTGAATTGGACATAGTTGGTTTCGTGTGAAAAGTTACTGCCTGTAAATCTTTGAAACATCACTCAAGTTTGTGGTTTTAGACTTTTGCAGCCATATAGTTGAACAAAACAAAGAAGGGAAAATATTGTGTATTTTATAATTTATACCAGATAGAAAGTATGTTTACATGTTTAGATTGCAGTGTTTTTTGTGGGGCTCCTAAAACATCTTCATTTGAAATATGCTTCCTCTGATCATGCCATAATTTTTGACGTATTACGTGTACTTTTAGTGGTATTTTGATGACTTTGATCTGACCCCAAGAGTTATTTTGATGGCATTAAGTTTCCTAGGATTTCAATTAAGGGTAAGAAATGGTAACTTTCAAGTGATGAGTTTTTTCTTTCAACTAGCAAATTCTAGAGTAATAAGAAAAAATGTAACGTAAAATGGTTACAATCTTCTGAGTCTTCATAGATAAGACTCAAACTTTGTTATAGATGATATCATGCACACCTAGCATCAACAGTGGGCATGGCATGGCATCAATTCCACCACACATTGCACCTCTCAGCTTCACGGATCTGGTTAAGTTCTTGGCGAATCACAATTCTCACAGACCTTGAGTAGTAACTCATGTCATGATATCTTTGAATACTTCCTCCGGATCCATATATATACAGACCGGTTACTTAATATCACAAGTACCTGTTTTTGCTAGTCTTGGACAGTACCAATGCATCAGGTTTAAGAATTATTTTTGGAGTTTATTGTTATATTTAATAAACTTTAATAATTATAGTATTATACTATTATATTTATGAATTGTAATGTTAAATGTTTATGTTCCTAATGTAATATAGTATGTTTGTATGATTTAACAATGATTTTTCAACTCAGTTATAAGTTCTTTAACTAATTATTTATTTATTGAACTCACATTTTACTTTTATCAAGTTACTGGTCACGCAAGTATAAAGTCGGATAAGAGAAATTTTTTTAATTCATGTATGGTGGGGATGGGTACTGTATTAACGATGGGTACAGTAATACCTTTCACTTAGATATGCTCATTTACCATTTTATATCTTACCAATTGTTGGATTATTAGAACTCTTGTTATCGAATCACTTTTAAATATTTAATTTTGTAAATTATACATTTAAGATGTTCGGTCATCTTAAAAAAGTTTAAATAATGTACAAAAGCAATCTTTTTAAGCTATTTTTATTGTTGATCAATATGTGACCAAACTGATGTGATTCCTCTATGATAGATAATTGTATAATTGATGAACAAGAAGATTCATAGAATATTAAGTTCTAAGTAATGTTCGTGTAAAAAAAATTCAAAATAATGTTTTAAAAATTAGATCTAGTCTAATGATCAATCTATTAAATATGAAAAATCAGAATATCTTATAATTGGTCCAAAGTTGATGATGAAAATTAGTTTTTCTTTTTTATAAATGGAAAATAAAATACAGAGCAACAAACAAAACTAAACAATTCTAGTGAAGGTGAAGCCAGAGGCATCTGCCATAATTAAAAGCTAAAGAGAAGTAGAACATTGATTGTAGGCAGCAGTTGAAGAATCAAAAATTGCACTAAGCTTTGCTAATTAGTTAGCACAAACATTGACTTTCCCTCCCCCTTATACATGAGTAAAAGTGACCTATCAAGTGAAAGCTGAGAAAAAAAATAGTTTAAATTAGTATTTTATTTTTTTAATTTAATTTAAAAGTTTTTAAAATAAATAAAAACACATATTTTATGTAATCATAAATTATTCAGTCAAAAAAATGTCCTCATAAATTATTTTTCAAATTATTATTATTATTATTATTATT